CGGGACAACGAGAGGCTGCGGCGGGAGCTGGAGAGCTGCGCCGAGAAGGCGAGCCGCATCCAGAAGGTAAAGGAATGGTGGCAGCTTCTTCGCGTGTGCCTCCTGCCCGCGGCGATGCTCGAGCAGCTGCTGCTGTGAAAATTCACCCCCTTTAGTGATTAAATCCTTTCTCCTCCTCCCTCTGGCGGCTCGTTCCCCTCGGAGCAGCTGCAGCACGGCAGCCGGGGTTGGGGAGAAGGAGCCCATTCTCCAGTGACCCTCTCCCTCCGCCTGTCCCCCCATCCCGGCCGCCACAGAAAGCCCTTTGTGTGCCCGTCTACAAGGGGCAGCTGTTCCCCGTGGCTGGGCTGTGGCAGAGCCAAAATTCTGTGAAGAAACTCTTCCATAAGAGAAAATATGAAAAAAATCAGTTTTTCCCTCAAAACAGTGCACTTGGGGTGCACTGAGCTCCTCTGGCAGCTCAGGTTGGGCTGAGCACCCTGACTGGGCTTTGGCTGGCATCTGCCTTTCCTCATTCCATGAATATCTAACCTTGGCTTGTCCCTTCCTCCGCCCCAGCTGGAGAGCGAGATCCAGCGCATCTCGGAGGATTACGAAAACCTCGTCAAGGCGTCTTCCAAGCGGGAAGCCTTGGAGAAAGCCATGAGGAACAAGAGGGATTGTGAGATGCGACGGCTGCAGGATTTCAACCGAGACCTGAAAGGTGAGGCAGCCTCTGTGTCCCCCTCCCTGTGGGTGTTTTGTGTCCCCCAGCTGTTTCCATGGGAAACCAGGCTTTTCCCCCTTCTTCCAGCCAAAACCTTGTATTTAAATCTTAATTGAGGTTTTTTTTGTTTTGGATCAGAGAGGTTGGAATCGGCGAACAGGCAGCTGGCTAGCAAGAACCAGGAAAACCAGGAGAGCAACCAGGGCAGCGTGGCCAAACTCCTGGCACAGAGTAAGTCCCGGGGGATGGACACCCATCCCTGCCCGGCTCCCCGGGCATCTGCGAGCAGGGCTCGGCTGCAGGAGGAGGAGGCGGGTGTCGGGCGGCAGCTCTA